GAGTGCTGGGCTTGTGGAATGGCTGCTTTCCCCTCCCCTGTGATGGAGCCAGCTCGGAGCGGCAGGTCTTCCCCCGCAAGTAATTTCCTTAGAAATGTACTGAACAGATGCAGCATCTTCAATGTGGGGGGGGGCTGGAAAACACCCAGCTCTGCTGCTGCACCCCAATCCCACCCTGTGCCATCGTCTACCTCAGCTATGTCAATACACCCCAATCCTACCCTGTGCCATTCTGCCCCCAACTCTGCCACTGCACCTCAACCCCACCCTGTGCCATGCTGCCCCCAACTCTGCCACTGCACCCCAATCCTACCCTGTGCCATTCTGCCCCCAACTCTGCCACTGCCCCCCAACCCCCCCCTGTGCCATGCTGCCCCCAACTCTGCCACTGCACCCCAATCCTACCCTGTGCCATTCTGCCCCCAACTCTGCCACTGCACCCCAATCCTACCCTGTGCCATCCTGCCCCCAACTCTGCCACTGCACCCCAATCCTACTCTGTGTTATCCTGCGCCCGGTCTGCCACTGCACCCCAATCCCACCCTGTGCCATCTTCCACCTCAGCTATGTCAATACACCCCAATCTTACCCTGTGCCATCCTGCCCCCAGTCTGCCACTGCACCCCAATCCTACCCTGTGCCATCCTGCCCCCAACTCTGCCACTGCACCCCAATCCTACCCTGTGCCATCCTGCGCCCGGTCTGCCACTGCACCCCAATCTAATCTGGTGCCATCCTCCACCTCAGCTGTGTCAGTGCACCCCAATCCTACCCTGTGCCATCCTGCCCCCAACTCTGCCACTACACCTCAAACTTGACATGCAACCTGCTGTTCTGTCTAGTTATGGCCCCGTCACTGTAGTATCTGAGTCCATCTTCCAGTCCTCAGCTCCCACAGAGCTCTGCTAATGTACATCAGTCCTGGCCCACGGTGCCCTGTGCTAATCCAGCTCTGGCAATGCGCCCCCTCTGGCATCATTGCTGAGTACCGGCAGCTGTCGCTCACTGGTTCAGGGGTTGGCAGCGGCGTCTGATGCTCAGTGTTCGTCTGCTCCACATAGAATTATGTGACGTTCATCACTGTATCCTGTGGGAAAGGAGACTGTTATTGGACGATACCCCTCTAGTCATCCATTGTTCCTGCTGGAGGGTCAGGGTAAAGAAGGGGGAGGAAAAAGCCTAGAGATGACGCTGCCTGATCCACTGCATTGTGTTCCTTCTGTGGGTTGCAGCAGTTGGTCCTAAGTGACTCACCCAAGTCACACAGGAAGCCGGTGGCAAAGCCAGAAATAGGAGCCAAGTCTTCTGAGTCCAATTCCTCTACCTTAACCACGAGACCCTCCTTCCTGGGGACGGCTAGATACCCAAGCCAGGCTTTTGGGTGAGAAACCCTGCCTTTCCAAATGCTTCCACTAGACCTGCCGCCGCCTTTCCTGCTGGACCGGGGGCTGCGGTCCCTGTATTATTATTAGTTATCTATATTATCACAGTGCCTACCAGCCCCACTCACAGACCAGGACCCCGTTGTGCCAGGTGCTGTACAAACACAGAACTTCTAAAGCACAGTTGATTCTGTGATTACACATGCCAGCTTGGTTAATAGAAGCGATGAGGTTCTGAAAGATAAAGGGAAGCCAGGTTGGAAACAGCTGACAGTTGGATGGCACAGGCTTTGCGCATGTGTGTGGGAGAGAGAGATTGACAATGTTATTAATTATCTACCTGGCAAAACACAGCAACGATCTAACAAAGTGTCCGTTGAGTGAGCCAACAAGTAGGATTGGGTTAGGAACAGGGGTGCCGGAACAGGGGTCTAGGGGCCATGGCCCCACCACTTTATACCAGTTGTAAGGGCGAGCGATTGGGGGCAAAGAGGAGCGAGTGGAGAGGGGTATCTTGGGGGGAAGAGGTGGTGTGGGAGCAGGGCCTGGAGGAAGAGGTGGTGTGGGAGCAGGGCCTGGGGGGAGAGGCAGTGTGGGGGTGGGACCTGGGAGGAGAAGCAGTGAGGGGGCGGGGCCTGGGGGGAAGAGGTGGTGCGGGCGCGGGGCCTGGGGGGAGAAGCAGTGTGGGGGCGGGGCCTGGGGGGAGAAGCAGTGTGGGAGCAGGGTCTGGAGGAAGAGCTGGAGCGGGGGCAGGGCCTGGGGGGAGAGGCAGCATGGGGGCGGGACCTGAGAGGAGAAGCAGTGAGGGGGCGGGACCTGGGGGGAGAAGCAGTGTGGGGGCGGGGCCTGGGGGGAGGAGCAGTGTGGGAGCAGGGTCTGGAGGAAGAGCTGGAGCGGGGGCAGGGGCCGGG